CATGTTGACTTACATGAAATTGATAAAGATAATCTGGAAGACTCTATCTCTCAGACTCCCTCTACATTTGATGAGAATGATTCAATTGAATCAAGTATATCAGACATGCCTAAAAGAATTAGAGCCCCACCTACGATTTTAGAATAATTTTATGTATTTATGAATAAAGATAATTATTCTTCAATGAGTGATGATACAATAGATGAACCTCAAAGCTACAGTGAAACTATTAGCTCATATGACTCAATTGAGTGGACTCAAGCTATGAATGATGAACTTGATTCTATTAAAAGAAATCAAGTTTGGGAGTTGGTTGACATCCCTAAAGATAGAAAAGCCATCGGTTGCAAATGGGTCCTAAAAAAAAAGCTGAATGCAAATGGATCTATTGATAAATATAAAGCTAGGTTGATAGCTAAAGGATTTACCCAAAAAGAGGGTGTAGATTATGTAGAGACTTATTCTCCTGTAGTAAAATTTTTATCTCTTAGGATCATCCTAGCATTAATTACATATTATGATCTAGAATTATTTCAAATGGATGTCAAAACAGCTTTCTTAAATGAAGAATTAAAGGAAGATATATATATGAAACAACCAGAAGGATATATAATTAAAGGGCAAGAAGACAAAATATACAAACTTAAGAAATGTTTATATGGTCTAAAACAGTCTAGACAATGGTACTTTACTTTTCATAATGCAAGCACTAAAATTGGTTGTATAGCCAATAGGTTAGACCATTGTGTATATGTCTGAAATAATGGGAGAAATTTTGTTATATTATTACTATATGTGGATGATATTTTGCTAGCCGGTAATGATATTGGCATGATTAACTATACCAAATCATGGCTAAGTTCCCATTTTGAGATGAAAGATATGAGAAAAGCTTCATATGTAGTGGGCATTAAGATAACAAGAGATAGAAGTTCAAGACTTTTATGTTTATCTCAAGAAAATTATTTAAAAAGTGTTTTAAAAAGATTTAAGATGGAAAATTGCAAGCTCATAGATACACATGTTTGTAAAGGCTTAAAATTGTCAAAAAAAATGTGTCCATTAAATGATAGTGACAAATCTGAAATGGAAAGAATTCCATATGCTCAAGCTGTAGGATGCATAAATTATGTCATGTTGTGTACAAGACCTGATTTGAGTAATGCATGTGGTCTTGTAGGTAGATTTCAGAGTAATCCTGGGATGGCTCATTGGAAAGCCGTAAAAAAGATACTCAAATATATTTAGAAAATTAAAATTTGCAAGTTGTGCTTCCAGGCTGATAACTTAGAGATTACTGTGTACTCTAATGCTGACTTTGCAGGAGACCCAAATGATAGAAAATCAATCTCAGGATTTGTATTCATCTTTGGAGGTGGTTGTGTTTCTTGGTCTAGCAAGAAACAAGATTGTATAACTCGGTATATTATCGAAGCCGAGTATATTGCTTGTAGCATTGCTACAACTTATGCCGTCTGGATTAAATGCTTCATAAATGTTTTAAAGTTGGATATAGCCGACAGACCTGTTAAATTTTTTTGTGATAATCAGGCTGCTATCTCATCAATTAGAAATGGAGTTTATAGTTCCAAGGGTAAGCATATTGAAATTGATTATCATTATATTTATGATATTATTGAAAAGAATGAAATAACTGTAAGTTATTTGTCATCTTCAGATATGATTGCAGACCCTTTAGCAAAAGGATTGAGTGCAGAAATATTATCAAAGCATGTAGCTTTAATGAGACTTAAAAATATGTAAGTCAGGAACTCCCAAATGGGATATTTCTTTTGATATCTTGATCATGAGAGGAAAAACCGCATGAGCGTGAAAAACCCTATGACATGACTTTGGATATTTTTTGTTATGAGATGTATAACCTTCGCTAGTGTGAAAAGCCTCATGACAAGGATATGCTCATTAAGTGGTCTTATATCAATATACCTGGCCCTCATGGGCAAGTGGGAGATGTTGGTATGTATGGGTGGCCATGAGGCCCTCATACATGCTACTTTTTTTCTCTTTAATCTTTATCATAAATATTATGTTTATCACTAAATAAGGGTCTTTTTTAGATAGAGAAGAGTCATCATCTAACGGGTAGATGATAACTACCCACCTCCCAGGACTATAAGCCACGTTTCTCAGAGTTTTCAGGAGAAAACCGAACGTTGGAAAACGACCTCCTCTATCCCTTTATAACTAGGCCTTTCATGGCCATGGAGAGGTCTATGTAGAGACGCTTTGAGTTCTCATTATTCAGGAAAATCCTCCACACTGTGATCCTTAATGTCACGATACCGCCAACAAATTTTGGGAGTTTGGGGTCCATTTCTTCCCACATAATCCAATAAAAAAATAGTTATCTCATTCCCAATGCAATGTGCCAGGAGCCTCCCCCCTTTCTCATTCTCTCCAATGGAGTGAGCCATGAGTCAAAGCTCCCTCGAACATTAAGCCCTAACACCGTAGCTCTTTCTCCACCATATTTCCAAATCTCTCTTTCTCTCTTCCCTAAATAAAATGTAACTTTCTTTTAACTTTCACTTGCAACCATTTCGCTCAAAGTATATGATTTTACAAGTCAGGCTTGCCACATCATCAAAAATGGAGCTAAAACCATTACTTTCTATCTACTCTCTTCTCTCTCCATCTATTACTAGTCCATGGGCCTAAGTTCTCTTTAAGAACAATTATGTTTCCCTCCCATAGATCTACTCAATCTACACTATTCTTTAATAGAAAAGGTTTATATAATGTTGCAACCTTAAAATGCAGAATTAAAAGTGCACTTCAAAATCCATCATAAAAGTATGTTTGGATGTTGGAAAACCCTCTAATTGATTATCTCAACATCGAGATATATGAATATGGAGAAAAAAAAAATTTGAGTCTGCGAAATAGTGTATCTTACAACGCATTATCTGGACCATCAATTTTCAAGATTTTCATATGTTTATATATCTACTTGATTTAAACTAGAGTTGTAAATTTTATAATTAGAGATGAAAATAGATTCTCAAGCCATCCTAATAGTTTCTTATATCAAAATGGTATTTATGATAAACTTTAGAAGTGCCCCTTAATTGGATTGTTTAAGGTTGCAACCTTATACAAACCACACCCTTCTTTAATATTTAAATTTTATAATTATTGATAAGAAAATAAATATTATCGATATATAAACCGATGTGCATTACTCAAGGTTTAAAAAAACGCTAGGCAGCCAGTCTGGCGCCAAACACCGAACGTCTAAGTATGCGCCCGAGCCCAGAACCTCTTGAGTTCAAATGACCCCTTTTGCCCTTTTGGGCTAATTTAAAAATCGAAAAACTCCTTACAAGTGGCACTGGGCCCGTCAAGCCTACCTAGGTACAACCGTCCGTGTAAGCCACCTAGGTCAAGGGGCATGGTTTTTTTGTTGAGGCTGCCTAGGCACGGACCGTTTTTTTTAAACCTTGGCCTTACTTTGAGGGGCCGTTTGGGTACCTGGAAATCTATTATATAATAATAGATTATAAGGAAATATGACATTTCCACTATTTGGGTACACTTAATAGTAAGGAAATGGAAAGAGATTACGTGAGATTTCTCCAAAAATTTGGAAATCCATTTACGCGCGATGATAGGTGAAAATCTATTACGATAGTGACGGGTAATTTTGAGAAATCTTTCGCGTGCCTTTTTGCCTACCCTATCCCTGATTAAATTTTTTTTCTAAGCCCTCTCTCTTCATAATAACTAGGTGATCCCTCCTTTTTAAGCTCGTCCCCTTATCTAGGTGATCCCTCTCTTTTTAAGCTCGTCCCCTTATCTGAAGGCATCAGCTGTCATATAAAAATAAAAATAATAAAAATAAAAATTAGTAATCAATGATAAATTACACGACACAATCATAATAAAAAATTTCATACAACATAATGTGATCCCTCCCTTTTTAAGCTCGTCCCTTCATATAAAGGCATCAGTGTCATATAAAAACAAAATAATAAAAATAAACAAAAGTAATCAATGATAAATTACACAACACAATCATAATAAAAAATTTCACACAACATAATCCTCATAAGAGATTACTGAAATCTCAATTGAAATAACATACCTACTCTCCTCTAATACCTCAAAATTTTATACTGCAATTACCAAACCTTATAGTTTACTGATCAAACTCTCGTATCCTACAGATTTTGAATTTAGTATCATAAATTTATTGTTTATTGGAAATTATATAGCGAGACATTTGAAAGACTTCTATAAAAAATAAATAAAAATAAGGCTTATCATAAAAAATCATGTTATTCCAATCATATTGTTTCAATGACTTATCATGTTGAAATCAATGTCATGTTAGAAAATGGTACAAGTTTTTATTAGAAAATCTTTTTAGAATGACGATAATGTTATTATTAGAAATCTTTTTGGAATGGTATGATGATGATTTGAATTCAGTATTTTAGTGGAATTTTTTGATAAAAAAGAAAGAAATGATAATTCTACATTTTAGTGGAATTTTGTGACAAAAAGGAAAGAAATAAGTGGAATTTTGTGATAAAAAAGAAAGAAATGATAATTCTACATTTTAGTGGAATTTTGTGACAAAAAGAAAAGAAATAATAGTTTATAGGTACGTGCTAATAAAATGTTGGTAATGTATTTTTTTTATTTCTTCTAGACATAGCCGAACAACAACAATGTATTTCCTAAATTCATCTAAATACTACTAACAAAAATTTCATCTAAATACTACTAACAATCCATTTATAGGTACGGTATTACGCCTCTAATGTAATTCACATACAATATAATAGCCAAACGTCCCCGATTATTTAGGGCCTCAGCCTTATAGAAATCAATATGAACCCGTCAATCTTGTCCACATATAAACCGATGTGCCTTAGTTTGATTGTTTAGGGCCTCGGCCTTATACAAATCAATATGAACCTATCAATCTTATCGCGATATAAACCGATGCGCCTTCATTTTCTCTGGAGACTCGGAGAAGTCGGAGAGAGGGAGATGTCTTTTCCCATGGCTAGTGCTCACCTCCACTCCCAATCTCTCTCTGATTTCCTAGGGCACCCATTCTTTCAATCTCTTTTTCTCTCTAGAAAAATTCCGCAAAAGACCAATTCCTTCTTGCCCTTTAGGCTCCCTTCTCACTCTAAACCGCCAAAACTCCACTCCATTTCTCAAACTCAAAGCTCCGATCCTGACCCACAAGCAAAATCGCAATCCACAGTTCCTAAACCATCTCAGTTGAGAAAGAACTCAATTTGGGTGAACCCAAACAGAGCCAAATCATCGAATGTGCAGTTAAACAGGTACGCCCATCTCTGTAAACTCTCTGAATCATTGAACTCCCTTGACCCAATGCAAGAAAACTCCATTTATGAGATTTTAAGTACTTTGGGTGAAAACCCAGATGAGAGAGAAGCTGTAATGCTTCTTAACGGTATAGAAAACTGGAAAGTTGCACTTCTCTCTCTTAGGTATTTCCAAGAGAGGATTAAACCCAAGAGGGAGGTCGTTCTTTACAATGTAACTTTGAAGGCTTTAAGGAAAGCTAGAGAGTGGGAGGAAGCCGATAAATTGTTGAATGAAATGGTATCAAAAGGGATTAATTTCGATAATATAACATTCTCCACCATTATAAGCTTTGCTAGGCTCTGTAGTTTACATCATAAAGCGGTTGAGTGGTTTGAGAAAATGGACCAACTTGGTTGTGTTCCGGATATTGTTACATATTCAGCCATGATCGATGCTTATTGGCGGGCAGGCTTTGTAGACAAGGCCATGGCTTTGTATGATCAATCAAGGAGAGAGAAATGGCGTTTAGACACTGTAACATTCTCAACAATTATCAAAATGTACGGGATGACTGGTAATTTTGATGGCGCGTTGAATGTTTATGAGGAGATGAAGGCTTTAGGAATTAAGTGTAATTTGGTTATCTATAACACATTATTGGATGCTATGGGAAGAGCTGGGAGACCATGGCAAATGAAAAATATTTATAAGGAGATGAATGACTCAGGTTTTGTACCTAGTGCAATTACTTACTCTGCTCTTATTAGGGGATATTCGAGGGCTCGCTATGCTGAAGATGCGCTATTGGCCTACAGAGAGATGAGAGAGAAAGGATTTCCAATGGATGTGGTTTTATATAACTGTGTTTTATCAATGTGTGCTGATTTGGGTTGTGCTGACGAAGCGATTGAGATTTTCAAAGAACTCGAGAATTCAGAGGATTGTAAGCCTGATAGTTGGACCTTTTCATCATTGATTACTATATACTCATGTAGTGGGCAAGTTTCAGAGGCTGAGAATATGTTGAATAAGATGGTGGGAGCTGGGTTTGAGCCTAATATCTTTGTTTTGACATCTCTAGTTCAGTGTTATGGAAAAGCTAAAAGGACTAATGATGTTGTGATGACTTTTAATAAAGTTTTAGAGATGGGTTTGAGCCCAGATGATAGGCTTTGCAGTTGTTTATTATCAGTAATGTCACAAACGCCGAAGAAAGAGCTTGATGTTTTGATGGACTGTCTAGAGAGGGCTAACACCAAACTAAGCTCTGTTGTGAAGCTCATAGTGAGAGATGAATTGGAGCAAGGTATCCTCAAACAAGAGGTTGGTGATCTCTTTTACAATTTAGGAGAGGAGACGAGGAAGGCTTACTGTAATTGTTTGATTGATTTGTGCGTGAACCTTGACTTGTTAGACCGAGCCTGTGAGCTACTTGAGTTGGGTCTCTCTCTAGAAATCTATACGGGTATTCAATCGAAATCCCCAACGCAGTGGTCTTTACATGTGAGGAGTCTCTCTCTTGGGGCTGCTCTCACTGCCTTGCATGCTTGGATGAATGATTTGTCTCGAGCTTTGGAGAGCGGAGAGGAGTTTCCCCCATTGCTTGGCATTCATACTGGTCATGGCAAACATAAGTACAATGACAGTGGTCTAGCCACTGTATTTGAGTCTCATTTAAGAGAGATAAATGCTCCTTTCCATGAGGCCCCAGATAGGGCTGGTTGGTTCTTGACCACAAAGGTTGCAGCCACATCATGGTTGGAATCTAGAAATTCTCCTGAACCAGTTGTTGCTTAGGCAATTGATTTTCATGGTTGGATCTTTGGATGTGAGAGATGTGGTAATTTTTTCAGATTTTCTTTGTATATGGAATATATAAACTTGGTTCTTTTTTATTTTGCTTTGATGGGATTTTGCGGCTCATCTGGCCTTGTTTCTTCTTCTACTTATCGCTTTCATGATATTTATAAACTGTCAAAGAAGTAGCATGTTTCTGTTAGTCTTAGGGGTTCACAGCACCCACATAGCTTTCATTCTAGGATCTGGGCATCATTTGAGTAAGTTATTCTAGTATTCAGGTACATCCTCTTTGAGACGAACAACTAGAGTGAAATAAATTATTTTGGAAGACCTCCAGTAGTACTGTGGTATTAATAGCTGTTATGAGATTTTGCCCAAAAAACGATAGCTGTTAATGAGCATGACTCTATCTTTGGTTTTTATAAGTACCATAATTGTCGTTTTAGCTAAAATGTGAGAACCGAGAAACGACTTTCATCTGAGGTAAGAAATTACCATTATTGTTTCTTTTCATTTAGTTTTGTTGGATATGCTTGCATCACCTGTTTTAAAACTTAAACTGTAAGTGTTCATGATTTGCTTATACTTATGGAACAGACAAAATGTGTTGTATGCTTTTCCATCAGAGTAGTCAAGAAAATAAAATGGTATCTAGTAATCAAGGTTTTGAAAAGCACTAGACAGTGGCTGGGTGGCTGGGATGTTGGCAATCTAGGTGGGATGTAGCTGTGTATGCGAGTTCCTTAGTTTTGAGGCACCTGAAGCGTACATATATGCATGATGCGCCCACCTAAGCAGTGTATGGGCCGCACATGTGGGCAAATCACACCATGAAATGCACCCGTGTATGCGGACCTTGCTTGTGAGTGGCAATAATGCCCATGTGCAGGGACAAAAAATCTTTTCCCCCAAAAAGGTTGTGAAATGTTTTTTCTTTTTCTTTTTACTTTGGGGAGGGCGTTATATGCGAGTGCATCGCACCAAGTGGTGTGATGTTTATGCAGACCTTACATTCATGGAAACTTGCTTGTGGGTAAACATGGGTGAAAAGTCTTTCCCCTCAACTAGTGAACAAGGAAGAGCAAACCTACAACTGCGGTCGCAGGGGATGTGGGATGGAATGAGCGAACAGGGGTGTAGCTTTGTGAGCTGAGGTTGTTTTCCAAATTCCAATACATTAAAGGGATGGGTGTGGTTTTCAGAGAGTGTAGCCAATATGCAGGAAATCCATTACAAACCCTGCCAGCCTATGCCTTGCATTCTCTTCTTTGATGGGTTGGATTCCATTGCTACTCAAAAAGAGAGCAGCATTGGAGATGCTGTGGTGGTGGCACATCGAGTGCCAACAATGCTTTCCCAAAAGCTATGACGAGCTCCATGTCATCACACCTTCAGTTGACTCCAGTTTGTGAAGAAGCTGATATGGGTATCAAGGCAAACTATGTGGATTGCAATTTTTTCTGTTTTTTTGGATAAATGATGTGGATGGCAATTTTGAGATGACAATATGTATCCGTGGTAGACCATGTTGTATAAGTTGATTGGAAGAAAGAGGTTTCTGGCCTAAATAATTTTATGGCTGATGCGCTTAGTCGACAATCATATTTTGTATTCTGGCACTTGAAATGTATTTGGGTGTTTGTCGTGGGAGTTGCCAAGTGGATGAAACATATCCAGTCTTCAATGTTCAAGATCAATTCGTGTTCCATGGTGATGTCGAATCGACAGAGTCAAGACTTCTCCTACTCTGGGAGGATGATTGCAAATCAAGAGAGGCTGATTTGGATTTTTAAATTTATTTTTATAATTTCAGTTTTCAGGATGCTGATGGCTTTTTATTTGTTATTAGGTTCAATTTTTAGTTATTGTAGCATTGGGTTCGAAAAGAGATTTGATTATTTGTGATGGAATGGGTAGCAAAGTGTTTGCTTTCTAATAGGAAGGCTGTTTTCTAATAGGAAGGTTGTGAATATGTCCCACTATCTTAAAACTAATGATTTTTGGGAAGGTTCACTTTCGGTGGTGTGGGTGGCTTGAGATTGTTTGGTTAGAATTTCTTTGAAGTTGGAAACATAATGTAGAGATCTAAAGGAGTAGGATGAGAAAATATGCGGGTCTAAGAGAAACAATCCTACAAAAGCAGAACTCGGAATAGAGAAAATAGGTGAGTCCTCGAAAGTTGGGAATTTGATAGAGAATGCATGAAGTCCAAGGTTGGGAGATATAGGGAGAAAAATAGTGGAAGAGATGGGTTGGTGCGGTAGGGAGAGAGAGGGCCTTACATAGTTACCGAAATCTCTCCTCAGACCCCGTGATTCTAGTTCCGAAATCCGTTTCCACGTTTCCGTTAAGTGCTCCACGGAAACTGTTTTTTTGAACCAACGAAACTCGATTCTTTTACTTCGGAATCTCGATTCCGTACCTAGGTGGAAACCTGTTTTTTGAAACATTAGAAACTCGATTCCTTAATTTCGGAATCTCGATTCCTCACATATGTGGAAACCTACTTTCGGAACCAAGGAAACTCGATTCCTTAATTTCGGAATCTTGATTCAACATTTCTTTTAAAAATATTTTTTGGAGCCAAGGAAACTCGATTCTTTAGTTTTTGAACCTCGATTCCTTAATTTCGGAATCTCGATCCAACAGATTTAGAGAAACTTGAACCCCCTAATTGTGGGTAGACACTCCCAAATAGATTAAATCTGGCTTCTAGCAAGGTTTAAATCTTGATTCCATGTTAAATGATACACGATTCTATAAGTAATGGAACTCATTTCGTCAGGGTTTTGAATCATCTACATCGTATAAAACATTGGTTTCTTGTAAATAATAACCACAAAAGTAATGTTTTATTTTCTAGTGGATATCATGCTTTAAGGTCCCAAATTATAGCATTAGGCAGCATGTATACTAGGAAGGGGTATTATTATTTGTAAGGCATGTATTTTAAAAAGAATTTAATGAGATTGTGTTGCTTTTTTAGTTATCTTTATTATGTTTCTTTTATTTGCGTTAATATAAGCTGCTATAGTTTCTTGCTCATAGTTATGTGAATTTGCTTAAGTGAACTTGCACCACATCTCGCCTTGCAACATTGCTTAGTACTGTACTACCGATTGCAATGCCTATAAACTGTTGAAATCATTTAATAACATATAAAGCAACACATATGGACTGACGCTTCTACACAGCAACATATCTATGTACCACATATGTCAGAAACTCGAATCAAGTGATATCGAAAACTCGATTCTGCTATTGTAATTCTTGATGTCAAACCAGCATGGATCTCTTATCCATATACTTCAGAAACTTGATTCCAAATATGTTAGAAACATGATTCCATAGATGATGGAAACTCGATTCCAAATATGTTAGAATCACAATTCCATAAATGATGGAAACTCGATTCCGCATATGTCGGAATGCGATTCCGCATATGTCAGAAACTCGATTCCATAGTTGACGGACACTCGATTCCGCCTATTCATGAAACTTGACACTTGGAGTGTCGAACCCAAGCGGATGGGAATCTCGATTCCAAGGAGGCTGGAATTTCGATTCCATATGTGGATAAAACTTGGACCTATTCCGATCAATACTCGATTCTTGAAAGTCACTGTAGATGAACACCGTCATGGCCTTAGCTTTATCAAGTGTCCCCTTTGCCCTTGGCATTCTAACAGTGTGATGTCCATGGTATCCAAAAATATGAGGCCCCACAAAATTAATTGGCAACATACATATCGGTTGCAGCCATGTCTGTTCCTACCTGCATAACATGCCCTTCTCCAATCTCCACAATACCCTTATCAACCAAAGAAATGATGTTATGCATCATGAACATCAGCAGAAGCATCGATAGGACTCAAAGTTTTATCGTTAAAGGCAATTCACCATCAAATTTATCATGAATCTATCATGATTGAAACCCCATATTGGACCCATGCATCCATGTGGACCTTGAGGTATTCCTTTCTGAGTTCATGTGGACCTTGAGGTATTCCTTTCTGAGTTTACTTCCTTTTTAGCGGTGGATTGGGTGTTTGAGCATCCATGTTGGTCAATAACCTCTAACATTATATCGATGCTGGAAAGAATGATGCATTGAAGGCAATGCCCATCTGATACATTTACCAAGCACCATTGACATGCCTGGCCTCGGTTTCTTTTTTAGACATGGATTCAATCATAGTTTGCTTCTTCCCTTTCTCCTTATCATATGTCATTTTCCTTTTTGCTATCTAAATTCTCAATTAAATCTTCTATAGCTCTCCTTTTTTCTATCTAAATTCTCAATTACCTCCCTCCTGAAATCTTTTGTAGCTTTTCGTTTTGCTATCTAAATTCTCAATTACCTCCCTCCTGAAATCTTCTATGGCTTTCTTATATGAGGCAAAATCCCCTCTAATACTGGCGAGTTGTTTTTTAAGTATATTAATAACCTGATCGTATCTTGTTCACAATAATTGCACCATATTTTATTTTGATCATTTTCATCCAGGGGATAATGATATCTCTTACCCAGATCCCTACTCCCACAAGCACCCAGATAAGACTATTGAAAGATCACAACAAATATAGAGATTCAACCAAAGATGACTAACCTCTATTGCATGATCTTTGATTCCTGATGCTTTGAATTAATGTTGACCTTTAAATTGACAAAAATCTCCTCTTGTAACCTCCCTTGATATTTCACGATGAATCAAATCTGAAAAACCTGGACTTGCAATAATTTCTCAAAGTTCTTAAATTTCTTGTCTTAAAAAGGTTTCATTTTCCCCCCCTTACCAAAACTGAGTTTAGATCACCTAAGTGCCTGAGGCAGGTACTTTTTAAAACATCAGTAGGGATCAACATCATGTATAACTTAAGAGTGATATACTTATTTTACAGGTGAGTTCAGTGTATCATTGATATTATTCCTCTACATATTATTCCCCATGTGTTTATTAATTAGGGTTTATAAATATCACTACTGGTGTTTATCAATTTCCCTTGATTAGTGATGTTAACATTTGTCTACTTTGTTATTAAGGAAAGAATATGCTTCATTTCCTTTTATTCTTTTTTCTTTCCGCCATTCAAA